ACAGATCTTCAATGGGTGATATCTGTATAGATCTCTTCACTGGGTGACTCCAGTTCCCTAGTTCCTGAGTGGGAACCTTATCCCCTTGGCCTGACAGGCCTCATTCCTCTTCCTCTTGGGTATGGCAGCCCTGCCCCCTCAATCTTGGGCAGCAGCTTGACTCCATCCCACTAGTTCACATGAACGAGCAGCCCCACACTCCAGAACCAAGTTGGTGAAGGTCTGGCTCTTTGAAACCTAGAGGGCTGTGGTGCTTCCATCCCCAAAGGCCATGGTCCTACCCTTGAGGCTGAAGCAGCTCTGCTTCACATTTCCTTGGTCTCTCCACTTCTGCCAATTAATGCCAAAGGCAACCCACTCCACAGGAAATCTTCCTGCCCTAAAAACACTCAGCTTTCTTGCTCCATGGGCTGGCCAACCTGCTCCTCCATCTCGTGCCAGTCTCCTCTACCAATTAATGCCTGAAGGCAACCCACTCTGCCAGGAAGCCATCTACCCAATGGCACCCAGCTTTCTCTTCCATGGGCTGGTAAGCCTGTTGCTGTTTACTGCCAGTCTCTGGTCTCTCCTCTTGCCATCTCTCATGCCATATGCTGGGGTCTCTCTGCCAGGGTCTCAAGTCAAGGATGCACTCCACTCCTGTTTCCACATTTTAGGTATCTGTCAGAGTAACACCCCACTCTTGGTACCATATTCTGTTCTGGTTACCTAACGCTGCTCTGACAAGAATATACCACAAATGGGATGGCCTTAAGAAACAGGAGTTTAGTCTCTTACAGTTTTGGAGGCTAGAAGTCTGAGTTCAAAAGGCCAGGCTCTAGGGACTGTGTGGAAACCCCTCGACCTTGGACTTCAGCTCTGCCTCATGCTCCTGGCCCACTGAGACTAGAGACATCTCTTTACTCTGGCTGCCACTGGCTGCTGAGGCTAACAAGGTCAACAAATAAAATGGCACAGTCCTGACATTACCAAACCACACGGCAGGACATTCATTCAAGTCCATTGAAAGTCCCGAGGTCAGCATGGAGAATAACTGCATTCAGCTGCCCAGCCACTCAACCAGGCCCAGCCAAGTTGACACACAAAAGTAACCACCACACTACCCCCAAAAATCTACGCATTCAATGCAATCCTGATTCAGATCCCATCCACATCCTTTAAAGACATGGAAAAAACAATCACTAACTTTATGTCGGAAGAAAAGAGACTTCAGATAAGCAAAGCACTACTGAAGTAGAACAACAAAGTAGGAGGTCTCACATTACTGGATTTCAAAATCTATTATACAGCCACAGTAGTCAAAACAGCCTGGTACTGGTACAACAACAGACACATAGACCAGTGGACAGAATTGAGAACCCAGAAATAGATCCAGGGACCTATGGTCAGCTGATTTTTTGACAAAGGGTTGAAATCCACTAAATGCAGAAAAGATTGACTTTTTAACAAATGTTGCTGGCAGAACTGGATATCCATTACCAGAAAAATGAAACAAGATCTGTACCTCACACCATACACAAAAACTAACTCCAGATGGATCAAAGACTTAAATGTGAAACCTAAAACTATAAAGTTCTTCAAAGGAAAAATAGGTGCAACTTAGGGGCCCTAATTTATGGCATAAATAGACTAGCAAGCATAACCCAAGATGCATAAACAGCAGAAGTTAAACTAGATGATTGGGACCTTCTAAAAATTAAATTCTTATGTGCATGAAAAGACTTCTCCAAAAGAGTAAAAAGAAAACCTACAGATTGGGAAAAAATATTTGGCAATGACATATCTGACAAAGTAATTACCTCTAAAATTTATAGAAAACTCCAACACCTCAACATTAAAAAGACAAACAATCCAATTTAAAAAATGGGTAGAAGACATAAATAGACACTTCACCAAAGAAGATATTCAGGCAGCCAACAAACACATGAAGAAATGTTCATGGTCATTAGCCATTAGAGAGATGCAAATCAAAACAACAATGACGTACCATCTCACCCCAGCACTAATGACAAAGTTCAACAAGACAGAAAATAAGAAGTGCTGGTGAGGATGTGGAGAGATTAGAATTCTCATACACTGCTGGTGGGACTGTAAGATGATACAACCACTGTGAAAAGCAGTATGGCGATTCCTTAAAAATTGGAAATAGAAATGCCATTTGATCCAGCAATCCCATTACTAGGTATATATCCTAATGAAGTGAGAGATACTGTTCATTGCAGTACTATTCACAATAGCAAAGAGTTGGAAATAACCTTAGTGCCAATCAACCAAGGAATGGATAGCCAAACTGTGGTACATACACACAATGTAATACTATGCAACACTAAAGAATAATGTAGAATCTGCAAAACACTGCATAACATGGATCGACATTATGCTGTCCTTCAACATAACTTGGAGGATATTAGGGTGAGTGAATAAGTCAAACACAGAAGGACATACATTATTCCACTATTGTAAAAAGTCAAGGAAAGGTTTACACACAGAGGGAAAATTTCTTTGTTGGCTACCAGGGATGGTAGAGGAGGGGTGGAGGAAATTCCTAGATATGTGGGGGAGGAAAAAAAAATGTGTGTGTGTGTGTGTGTGTGTATACCAAAGATTATTAGTGGTTCAGTGGTAGGAGGGAGGGGGGAAAGGGGAAGCTTTTGTTTGCAGGGCATTGAGTTTATGCTAATGGTGGTGGAATATTTTGGAAAAGGATAGCAACAATGGTGGCACAACATGAAAAATGTCATCAATGTCCTTGAGCTGTAAATGTGGAAGTTGTTATGTTGACAAATGTTTTCTTTTGTGTTTTCACCACAGTAAAAGTAAAGAAAAAAAAAAAAAAAAAACAGACATGCTGTTATCTCTCCCAGTTACAAACAAATCTTATTGTGACCCCATTTCCCTGTCATCAAGTACCGCCTAGGAAAAGGCCTACGTACCTATCCCCAATCCTCTTAAATTCACTTTAATTAGGATTCACCCACCCCCAACCTCATCATAACTTGTTAATGACTTTGTTTCACAGTGTTTGATACTACGGATCACTTTCTTCTCTTTGATATCACAATCTCCTGGTCAGCTTCCTACCTCACTGGTTGCTACTTCCTAGTCTTGCTGATTCCTCGTCTCCTTCCCAGCCTCTTAATGTTGACATGTCCAGGACTTGGTCCTTGGCCCTCATCTCTGTCTCCACTCATTCACATGGTCATTCTCATCTTTATTGATGACTCCCAAACATACCTCACTCAGCACTCCAGATATCTCAAATGTGGTACGTCCCAAACTGAACCTATGTGCCAAAACCTGTTGCACGCACAGCCTTTCCCAACTCAGTGGATGACAACTTCATCTTCCAGGTACTCAGGCCAAGAATCTTGGAGTCAGCTGTCTAAGTGCAACCTGGAATCTCAAATCAAACAAAAGCAGAGAGGGTTATTGAAGGAATAAAAGCAACACGGACCAGCAAACATAGTCTCAAAGCGAAACAAAGTGTTGCAAAGTATAGAGAGAGAAAAGAGTTCTTAATGGGACAAAACTGAAAAGTGTCAGCATCTCTGTGCAAGCATCTGATTGGTTGACATTTTATGAGGTTGTTTACAAGTAATTCTTATTGGATGTATTTTAGCTATAAGGTTCTCTTTGGAAATTGACCAACAAGATGTTTCCTGGAACATGCAAAAAAAAAAAAAAAACTTTATTGTAATTTTGACTTAATAAGCAAACTTTCTGAGAATTTCAAAGCAGAAGTAACTTCTGAGAAACAATGAAACCGACAAAAATAACATCAGACCTACAGCTCAGTCAGAAGCTTCGGTCATGCCAAAAGCTTTGGTTGCAAATTTTGAAAAAAGTGCTTCTTGTCATAGCCCTGACTCATCCTTCCTCTCATACCTCATATTCCATCCATAAGTAAATCTGATAGCTCCATCTTCAAAATATACCAAAAAATTCTACCTCAATTCACCAACTTCATTGTTATCACCCTTATCCAAGATTCCATCATCTTTCTCTCCAACCACTGCAATAACTTCTAACTGGTCTCCCTACTTCTATCCTTGCCCTCTCATGAACTGTGGTCTTTTCCTGTTGATTCACAAATTCATCCCTAACACATGTTGTTGTTATGTGCCATCGAGTCGGACTGACTCATAGCGACCCCTCCTTGGGTTTCCAAGGCAGTATCACTACAGAAGTAGATTGCCCAATCTTCCTTCCGAGGAGTGGCTGGAGGGTTTGAACCGTCAGCCTTCTGGTTAGCAGTGAAGTGCCTTAGGCACTACGCTAGCAGAGCTCCTAACACATAGGTACTCAATACTTTAAAAAAAAAAAAAAAAAGAGGAACAATGAAGGACATGGAATTATTTTCAAACTGGTAAAGAGTTTTGGCATTATTGAGATTGTTGTTATTTTGCCGTCGAGTCAGCCCGACTCATAGCGACCCCTCCTTGGGTTTCCGAGGCAGTATCACTACGGAAGTAGGATTGCCCAACCTTCCTTCCGAGGAGTGACTGGTGGGTTTGAACCGCCAGCCTTCTGGTTAGCAGTCAAGTGCCTTAGCCACTATGCTACCAGAGCTCCCTTATTGAGATTAGTGGATAAAATAAGATGCTTTGTGACATTATGGTTTTCGCAAAAGTAAATATTAATCTCACTCATTGCCGTTAGAAATGGAGAACTTTAAACATCACTATCCAATTTAATCACAATTTAATGGGAAACTCATATTCTTAATATCAATTTTCCCTCTTATCAAGACAATATTTAGAATATATTGCTTACATGATTTGGTGACATTTAACTAAAACTCATTGCCTAATTTTAGGTAGTTATAGTTTTTAGTTTTGTAATTTTGTATACTTAAATGTTTATTAAGATAACAATTTTGATGTAAATTAATATGGTTTTCTAGTTTTTAAACTATAAGTTATTACTAATATTCATCATAATTTTGAGGAAAAATCCATGATGACTATGGAATCAATTCATTATTTATGTTTACTTTCTAGGTCACCTGCAATGGCTGGAGGAATTTTTGCTATAGATAGGCATTATTTTTATGAAATTGGACAGTATGACAAGGGCATGAATCTTTGGGGAGGAGAAAATTTGGAATTGTCACTAAGGGTAATTCAGAATTTATCTTTTAATTGTTAATTTTGTACATAGAGAGTCAAATCTAAATTTAAGTCATGTAATACAATGTGATAATTATGCCCCATTTTCTTACATCAGCATCTAGTACCATTTTGGTGTTAAGCCAATAAGGACCTTACAATGTTCTTTGCAAAAACTAAAAATGTTTAGTAAAATACTAGATTTTCTTACCATATGTCTTGTTGTTTCTAATGTACAACATATCAAATTAATATAATGTTTTAAATCCTTTTGAGAGCTCTGGTGGTGTAGTGCCTAAGGCATTTGACTGCTACCAGAAAGCTGGTGGTTCAAACCCACCAGCCACTACTCAGAAGGAAGATTGGGCAATCTACTTCCATAGTGATACCACCTCAGAAACCCAAGGAGGGGTCGCTTATGAGTTGGGTCCAACCAGACGGCAGTGAGATTGGTTTTTTTGGTTTTAAATTCTTCTGTAGAATCTTTTTTATTATACTCTCAAAGTGAAACAAAGTGTTACAAAGTATAGGGAGATAAAAGAGTTCTTTATGGGACAAAACTGCAAAGTGGCAGCATGGGGAGAGAGAGAGGAGAAAAAAAAAAAGCCTAAAATAAATATACTGATTTCTTGGCAGTACAGTGGAAATGACAATGAATTAAGGGTTGAGAGACTTGGAAACCACTAAACATATGGGCTACCTTGTTGTTGTTGTTGTTAAGTGCCGTCGAGTCGTTTCCGACTCATAGCGACCCCATGCACAGCAGAACGAAACACTGCCCGATCCCACACCAGCCCCACAATCCATGCTATACTCGAGCCCATCATCGCAGCCACTGTATCAATCCATCTCGTTGAAGGCCTCCCCCTCTTTCGTCGACCCTCCACCCTACCAAGCATGACATCCTTCTCCAGGGAATGGTCCCTTCTTACAACATGACCAAAATAGGTGAGACAAAGTCTGGCCATTCTTGCTTCCAAGGAGCATTCTGGCTGCACTTCCTCCAGGACAGATCTGTTAGTTCTTTTAGCAGTCCATGGTACTTTCAGCATTCTTCGCCAGCACCACAACTCAAAAGCATCAACTCTTCTTCGGCCTCAGTTTATCCATCTGTAAAATGAGGGTATCTAAGTTGATTTCTCTGGTAGCATAGTGCCTAAGGCACTTGACTGCTAACCAGAAGGCTGGTGGTTCAAACCCACCAGCCACTCCTCGGAAGGACGGCTGGGCAATCTACTTCTGTAATGATACTGCCTCTGCAACCCAAGGAGGGGTTGCTGTGAGTCAGGTCTGACTCCACAGCACATAACAACAATAACAACAAACAAGTTGACTTCTGGGAGCTCTGGTGGCGTAGTACCTAAGGCATTTGACTGCTAATCAGAAAGCTGGTGGTTCAAACCCACCAGCCACTTCTCAGAAGGAAGATTGGGCAATCTACTTCCATAGTGATACCACGTCAGAAACCCAAGGATGGGTCGCTATGAATTGGGGCCGAGTCGATGGCAGTGATTTCAGTTTTTTGGAAGTTGACTTCTAGGAGCCCTAATGGCACAGTTGTTAAGTGCTCATCTGCTAATCAAAAGATTGGTGATTTGAACCTACCAGCTCTGGGGGGAAAAAGACATGACAGTGTGTTTCTATAAAGAGTTACAGCTTTGGAAATCCCATGGGGCAGTTCTACCCTGTCCTATAGGGTTGCTATGAGTCAGAATTCAACTCAACAGCAATTAGTCTGGTTTTGTTAAGTTTCCTGCCAACTGTAAATTCTAAAGATAAATGCCATAACATCCTACCAACTTGAAAATATTACTAGTACCAGTTGTTGTTGAGTCCACCTGTGTAGAACTTGCTCCACAGGGCTTTCAATAGCTGATTTTTCAGAAATAGATCAATAGGCTTTTCTTCCAAAATGCCTTTGGGTAGACTTGAATAACCAACATTTTGGTTAACATCTGAGCGTGTTAAGTGTTTGCACCACCCAGGGAATTCTCTTAAAAATACTACTCTAAGTGAAAGAAGTCAGACACAAAAGGCCACATACTATAAAATTTCAGATGAAATATCTAGACAAAGCAAATCCATAGAATCAGAAAGTAATTTAGAGGTTGTCAGCACTTGGAGGGAAGGGAATGGAAAGTGACTGCTAATAGGTAGGAAATTTCTTTATGGAGTGATGTGAATGTTCTGGGATTAGATAGTGGTGATACTTGCACAACCTTGTAAATATGCTGAAAATACTGAATTGTACACTTTAAAGTGGTGAATTTTATGGTATGTGAATTATCTCTCCATTAAAAAAATTAATTTAACTAAAAAATCTTTAGATATTAGATATTTATGAATAAGTCCCAGCTCTACTGCCAATTACTTGCTATTTGATCATATCATTAGTTTGTGTAGTTCCCAATTTCTTCATTTATGAAAAAGAACATAAATACCATTCTCAGAATTTTGTGACAATTTAAGGAAATAATTATGTAGAGAATAGAAGTAGATATGGATGGAGAGAGAGAGAGGAGAAAAAATGAAAGCCTAAAATAAATATTAGGGCTCTGGTGGTGTAGTGCCTAAGGCATTTGACTGCTAACCAGAATGCTGGAGGTTCAAACCCACCAGCCACTCCTCAGAAGGAAGATTGGGCAATTTACTTCTGTAGAGATATCGCCTCAGAAACCCAAGGAGGGTTCACTATGAGTTGGATCCGATTTAACGGCAGTGAGTTTGGTTTGGGTTTGATTCAAATGGAATACATAAAGATTGATATACTAGGCATTAATAACCTGAAACAAACTGGTATCGGCCATTTTGAATCAGACAATCATACGGTCTGCTATGCTGGTAACAACAAATTGAAGAGGAATGGTGATGCATTCATCATAAAAAAGAATGCTTCAAGATCTGTCCTGAAGTACAGTGTTGTCAGTGATAATATCCACATGCCTATAAGGAAGACCAGTTAATGCTACTGTTATTCAAATTCATGCACCAATCACTAAAGCCAAAGATGAAGAAATTAAAGATGTTTACCAAGTTAAGGAGTCAGAAATTGGGCAAACATGCAACAAGATGTATTGATTATTACTGGTGATTGGAATGTGGAAGTTGGAAACAAAGAAGAAGCATTAGAAGTTAGAAAATATGGCCTCAGTGATAAAAATGACACCAGAGATCACATGACAGAATTTTGCAAGACCAACAACTTATTCATTGCAAATACATTTTCTCCAACAACATAAATGGCAGTTATATGGAATACACAGGAATCAGATAGACTACGTGTGTGGAAAGAGGTGATAGAGAAATTCAGTATCTTCAGTCAAAACAAAGCCAGGAGTTGACTGTGGAACAGACCATCAATTGCTTATATGCAAATTCAAGTTGAAGCAGAAGGCAATTAAAACAAGTCTGCAAGAGTAAAAATATGACCTTGTTAATATTGTACCTGAATTTAGAGACTATCTGAAGAATAGATTTGACACATTGAACATTTATGACCGAAAACCAGATGCATCAAGAAAATCATATACGAAGAAAGATAGGAAAAGAAGAAAAGACCAAAATGAATGTCTGAAGAGACTCTGAAATTTGCTCTTGAACAGAGTAGCTAAAACAAATAGAAGAAATGACAAGATAAAAGGGCTGAACAGAAGATTTCAAAGAGCAGCTTGAAAAGACAAAGTCAATTGTTATAAAAAAGTGTACAAAGACTTGGAGTTAGGAGTTCCAGCAAGATGGTGGACTAGGCAGAAGGACTGCACAGATGCTCTTCAACAAAGAAAAGGGAAACCAATTAACACAGACACAGAAGATAATCTTGG